ACACAATACACACGAACACACACACTAACAACACACAACACACAACACACACACGGACACCACACAACACGGACACACACACACACACACACACACACACACACTACGACACACACACACTACACACACACGACACACACACACACACACCACTTACAGCACACACACACACACACACACACACACACACACACACACACACACACACACACACACACACACACACACACACACCACACTTACACACACACACACACACCACACACACACACACACACCACACACACCACACACACACACACAACACACACTACACACACACACACAACACACACACACACACCGACACAAACACACACACCACACACTACACACACACACACTTACACCACACAACTGGACACACACACAACACACTTACACCACGGACACACACACGGACACACACACACGGACACACACACACCACACACACAACACACTTCCACGGACACACACACACTTACACACATCACTTACACCACACACAGGACACTTACACCAGGGACACACGGACCACGGACACTACACACGGACACGGACACACTGACAACGGACACACGGACCGGCCACACGGACACGGACACCACGGACACGGACACACCACACCGCACACCGGGACACACGGACACGGACACACTGACACGGACACACGCAGACACACCACACGTACACGGACACGGACACGACACCCGGACACACACACGTACAACGGACACGGACACACAACTTACGGGACACGGGACCACAAACTTTACACACACAACACTTACACCACACCGGACACGGACACACACATCACACACACACGGGACCACACCACGGGAAATACAAGTACACCGGACACGGACACACGGACCGACACACGGAACACGGACACACGGACACACACACGGAACCACGCACACACGGGACACGGACCCACCCACGGACCCACGGACACGGACACACACCACACACGGACCACACGCCACACATCTCACACACTGCACACACACACCACACACACACCACCACACAGCCACCCACCCAACCCACCCACAGCCCCCCGCACCGCCCCGCCCACCCCCCGCCACCCGCCCGCCCGCCCGCCCTCCCCCCGCGCGCATGCGCCGCACGCTCCCCACGCTCACACGCTCATGCGCACCACAACCACACACGCACCACTTCCGCACCCTCACAGGCATTCATTCATGCAGCGTGTTGTTGCGGCTGAGCCTCTCTGGGCCCTTCTTCTCCCAGGTCTCATACTGCCGTGCGGCCGGCATAGCCATCTGCGTCTCCAGGTCACGAAGGTGTTCATCCAACGTGAAATGCAACTGGTGCAAGTCATCACTCCTTAGTGCATCAGGCATTCACAAACAATCTGCCTTTTCTCTGTCGACAGCTGTGGCTTTCTAGGAGGTCGCCGGAGCATGGGGGCAACTGCCATCACTGTATCCTTCTCACACATGCAGCAAGGCCGGCCTTTTTCTTCAGCGGTCCTCCTCCACCTCGATGCCTTCACATGTCCTCACTCCTTCCTTCCCGCTGGCACTACCACATGGCGACGAGTTATTCTGCTCCAAGCTCGGAGACATCGCCACAGTTTCCCAAACTCCTGCAGGTTTCCTGAACCTGTTTGTCTGCCAGCACCTACTGCGGCGGCTTCGCACGACTGTCCGTGTCTGTTCATCCCAGCAAGGACAGCACAAGCAGGCAAAGGGGGAATCTGCTCTCAATTCTTTCAGAGAGATCCTTTCAGGCAGCAGGCCCTCCACGTTCATGAGACCCTGAGGAGCGTGCACTTCCTCGATTCCCTCAAGAATCCACACTTCTCAAGAAGAAATTCAGAAATCGAAATCTCTCCTGGCAGATGCTGCAGTGTAGTTTTCACATCACTGTCTCGACTAAAGCAGTTCTTAGCTCGGGCAGGAGGCAAGGGACAGCAGAGGCGAGAAGAAGTGGTGCTGGAAGCTGCGAACGTCCCTCCCCCTCTCCTCACCATTCCCCCCCTTCTTGTTTGTGCAAAGTTGTCACAAACATCTGGCATCACAAAAATCAGAGCGAGTATAATGCAATGGGTCGTCTCTCCTCCAGGTATGCAACAACACAGACAAGAAGAGAGAACACAAAGACAGCAAAGGGCGTGCCCGGTGACGAAGCACGATGTGGCTACTAGAAAGTGAGCGGTTGGCAATTGCCACACCGCTTTTTTCTTTTCCCATCTGAAGACTCTGTCTGCTTAGTCTTTATCTTGTCGTCAAGCGTAGTTCAAGATCAACAGGTATCTCAGCAAAAGTGATGGCACGGGTGACCTTCCCAATATGGGCATCGGCTCTTCGATTTGTCGATTCTCTTCCAAGATCTGGGCTTCTTGGAAGGGAGCGAGGTGTCGAGAGGGAGGGCAATTGACTCCTCCTCTGCCTTTCTGGGTTGCCTCCCGCTTGCCTTGGGAGGACATTCGGTGCCGCACGCAATGTCCGCGACCGCATGTGTGGAGCCTCAACCTACTCGCTAATTTTGTCGTGGGTGTGGAACCTCTGGCAGATGACTGCCTCTGGAGCGACGCCAATGGCAACTATGAACAGGCTCAAGCTAGATTGCTTGATCCAGGCGGCGAAGTGCCCGTTGCTTGCCAGCTGTTGGGATCTTCTACCAAAAAACCTAACTAACACAATAAACAGCAAACACACACCTGGCTCGAAACCGCAACTGGTTAATGTCAGCTCAGGCTCTCTTCTTGGGAGAGGTGTGTCGACATTTCTGCTGTCATAAACTGCGAGAGCATGTTCACAATGTGCTTGGCCTCCTTGTGCGTGGCCACCAAACACTTGTGGTCTGGACGCCGCTCTGCGGCTTCATAGATCATCTTCATTGGGTTCTCCCAATGTGCGCAGTCGACGGCTCGTCGGACAGCGGCCGCAGTAAAGTGCTTGCTGTGCCAGCCAAAGACATCTAAGTAGATGGTGGATCGGAAAGACAGCGGAAGACCAGAGCTTTCCAAAAGTGGGGCAGACACTCGCAAGATCACATACATCCAAAGCATGTGGCCTGCACAGGCCAGCATGGAAAGAATCCATGGAAGCCAAGCTGGAACTGTTTGGTCACATGCGCGCACCCCGCCCCTCCCGTGATTGGTTCTTGAAGCTGCGAGGTGAATCGCCAAGCCTGATAAGGCTGGTGGAATCACCAGCATCAGCTGCACCAGGTTCCTATACTTCGGACCACAGAAGAGGTCAAGTTTGAACAGTGTTGTGGTGCAGAAAGCACCTGCGATCAAAGAAAGCCAGGCTGCACCTGGATTCTGTGCTGGTATAGGCCAGTTGTCCATCTTGGACATGAAGTGCCCGAGCGAGTAGTAAGCACAAACTAAGATCATGTGCTGAGCTGCAAGGACGAGCCCAATCCGGGCATATGCGTCGAAGCATGCGTATCCTCGCTGAACCCGTCGTAACATCCAGAAGTGGGAGTGCATGACTGCACTCCGCCCAGGACCCCCGTTGTCAACGGTCTTGAGATGTTGCAGAACCTCTTCGCCGGCAAAGGGGGCGTCTGATAGCCAGTCGACTGCCTCCTTCTGATCCTTCTGAGATTTGGGACGCGTGCGACCCTTTCTCTGACTCGCACCAGTGGGCAGAGTCCGCATGCTGGGATCCACTGTCGAAGCCGCTGTCTTCGGGATCTCATCCTTCTCAGCCAAAGCGAAGGGAACGGCAAAAGCAGGGGGCTGAAAGTAGCGACCCGCTCCATCACCTTCAAAGTGCTCCTGTGAGCGCATGCCGGACTCAACGTCCTTCAGGGTGGGTACTGGTGGACGTATGGCCTGCGTCAGGATCTTGACTTGGGCTGAGCGCTGGGCAATGGAGCCATGCATAGCAAGCCAGACAGAAACCATTCCGAAGAAAATGCATGCAAAAACGCAGTTGTTCCACAACACCAGAAGCCATCGAGGCTCTAAGGGAAACTCTGGGTAACCAACGAAGATGAAATTCATCACAGCTGTCACGATGAGCGCACCAACCAAGATGTAGTTGTCCATATTCGACGTTGAAAGCTGAAAGACATCCCGAACATCTTCACGAAAGAGTCCCCACTGTGCTAAGCGCATGTTTTGCATCTGGTACATGCAATCCTGTCGCTGATCCTGACTTCACGCAGAACTGGCAGCGTACTTATTCATCATTCTACATCTAACCTAACCGGACCTAACCAGAAAATATGGAGAAGGCTCACGAAGCTCTCGCCGAAGGCTCCGCATCAAACTTAAAACGGTCCAAGTTGTAGAAGTAGGCCAGGCCAGCAGCCGGGGCCATGCCTGGCAGTCTTTTCGGGTTCTCAGGGGTTCTTAGATTCTAGGTTCATCGCTTTGCCTCTGTTCTGGACACATTATTCCCCGCCCGACAAGCGAGGTTCGTGGCTTTTGAGGATGCATCATGTGACCAGGCAGCACAACACGGCTCACAAAAGGCGGGCAACTGCACTGGAATGTGGCCTGAAAAGGCAAGCCAAGGAGGCTCAGGCGGGCAACCGGGTGGGCAACCGGGTGGGCAACGCTACCAAAAAGCTGCCTTCATATGGGTGGTTGTGAAAATGATTGTCCCTTTCTTGATCCGTGTTATAATACAATACGGCACCTAATATTTAGGGTACCCCGAAAGGGATCATAATTTTGACAGCCACCCGTATGCAGCAGGAAAACTCGGGCGAGCAATTGTACCGGCATGCTGCCCTAGTAAGCAGTCCAGGGAGATCGTGCGTGCGTCTGTTTCGAAATTTTGCTGAACAAGCAGGCAGGCTCAGGCGGGGAATTGTACTGAAACGTTGCATGATTAGGCAGGCCACTTGATGCAACACCGGTTGCCAACGGACCCAAACGGCAATGAGGGCGAAGTTTTCAGTCACAGTTTGGCCTTCGCTCGCTAACGCTTGAACGACCACAGAGTTTCGGGATAAATGCCGCATTGGCACCATGCGGAAACAGAAGAAAGGGGCGGGAACGTCCGTCCACGAGGATCATGACAAAGGTATGCTGCCCTCCACCCAGTTTCACTGATCGGAACAGTGCATCTGGCGTGCAAGGACACAACCATCCTTCTCCATGTGTCGACTGCCCTCCCTCACAAGACTACCAGCGGGAGTAGGAATGTACCGAATGTTTGTCTGGGTAGGGATGCCCGTTGCTTTGTGAACAATCCGATCACCAGCGGATACAGACAATGAAACCTAGCTCTGTTCTGATTCACTTTTGCGCATCCACAGGCACGTTCTGTTTTCAACTTCCTTTGCTTCTGGACATTTTGACTCCGGCTGGCTTTTGAACATCTCGCAGAAACATAACAGCTGCAGTAGCAGAGAAGAACAAGTTTCGAACTTTGTTCGATGGCCAGGCGTTGCACGTATGCCTTTACAGCAAAAAGTCTTAGGTCAGCGGTCAAAGGCTACAGCCCTTTGCTGGTTGACGGCCCCTCCCAGTTTGTTGTTTTGAGAGTAGCTTGTTTAACTAGGCTGTTCATGCATTACGTTGGTTTAACTGTCAACAATCAGGGCTCGGGGCTTGACACTATCCTCCGCTACGCATCAACTTCGTCACCACGTATGTAGGGTTCAGGTGTAGGTGTGAGTGCGAGGATAATGTCTCTGGTTTCGGATGTTGAGTACTGGACGTGCTTCTTCTTTCTTGGGGATCGCCATGCCGATCTAGGAGTATTCACATAGCAAAAGACATGCAGTCAACATTGCAAGGCGGGGGCCTGATGCCATTCTGACTATGAAGACCAGGCGTCCACGGCCGGCGAGTGGCAAGTAAGCGTAATGTGTCGCAGCTCAAGCTGCAGTCTGTGCAAGGTTGGGGCCAAGGTACTAGTGCTCAGCTGAAAGCTCTGTCAAGTCAGCGTGTACTGGGCCTTAAATGGCCTTAAGTGCTTCTTGAACCCGAACAGCATGGCAGCTTTTGGCTAGGACTGGGCTGAGTCTGTGGGATCGCACAGCTAGGTATTTTTGGTCTCTGCCATTCTGACCACAGAGGACGCTTCTGGGCTGCGGGCTTCAACCGCTGCCAATCGGGTTCCGGCATCCCCTCCACTGCGCAGCGAACGCAGACGGAGATTCGGTGAAGGCAATGAGGTTTCAACCTGAGCACTTCGCCTACCCTAGCTCGCTTCTGAAGTCCACACTCATGGATGTGTGTAGAGACATTCTTGCCACCCATCAGCATACCAGGCTCTTGGAGCAGCTGCCCTTATCAACATACTCAGGACCAAGAACAGTGCCCGCTCACCGACAGGTCGAAACCTGTGACCGAGGGCGGCCTGGTGCAGGCTGAAGGATGCTGAAGGATGCTGAAGGGCTTAGAGGGCCCGATCAGTAACTCACAAGCCAGAATGGCCCACTGTCGTCTCCCTCTGCGCTGACAGTCCTCGGCCAACAAGCTCTCCAAACCGATGACTGGACTGACCCTTCCGAGGTGTAGGATCTGGCTGCCATGAGTGGACAACGTTGAGGCATTCACATCTTCGCTGGGAACCTGGTGCTTGAGCTAAGATCCGATCCGTATTTCCTTTTGCTTGAACTTTCCCAAGAGGCGCTTCCTGAGTGCAGTCATGAGCACGTCTTTGCCAGGTGGTGCCCAGATGCTTCCAATCAGTGAATTTGCATTTGGCACATGAGCGTCGCAAGAGAACCGAGCGTACCATGTTTCATGTGAGTCATTGCAAGTCAGCATCCCATCTAGGGCGTCCACTACTACGCACTCGAGCATCTTCTGGCTAAAGCGTGCTGCGCAACTTGCAGTGGTGGTTATCACACTTCCTAGATGCACGTCTTCGCCGCCTCATGAGTGCATCTCAGTAAATGTCCGGGTTTGTGGATGTCAGCCAATGTCTCTCAGTCGGGCTGTGGCGTGGGGATGGTCATCAACATGAGTGCGGGCTATGCTGCCGCGTAAGCGCTAGCATGGCCCAAACCAGAATCCTTGAACCTGAGTGGCCAGCTGGCTTCGGTCTGAGAAGAGGCTCTCAAAGTCGAAGGCAGGAACTTCTTTCCCTTCCTCGGACACGAGTGACAGCAGAAGATCTCGCAAGGCTCGCAAGGCTTCTAGCCTGCGTGGACAGGATCAAGTAAGCGGTCCTCGGCATATGGGAGCAGGCAGCCACAGGAGCCATCAGCGAGGTAGACCTGAACCGACTGTCGTGCTGGAGTCCTCCGTGAACCTTCGTAGCCTGGGGGTGCCGTTGCGTACGCAGGCTGAGCGCGCTGAGTTGCCGACCCCACGCCGGTGCAAGATCTCAACATCAAAGCTGCCTTCATCCTGCGGCAGTCTCGTCGGTGCTCACACGAGGTTGCACAAGACTAGCACACGAACACGCTGCCCCGCCCAAACCCAAAGCAATGTGAGCCAGAACCGTGTGTTAATCCAGAGCCAAACGCCCATCAATTGCCCGTAAGATGAACACCAGTGCCCACAGTCCGAGAAGAAGAGACAATGATTGTGATTTCAATCGTGTTAGGCTGTCACAGCAGTATCAACACGACTCATGCGTGCGTGCGTGGGAGCGCGCGTGCCTGTCCGCGAGCGGCTGTGCGTGTGCGTGTGAGCTTGGGTGTGGGTGTGCACGTGCGAGCTCGTGCCCGTGGTATCGTTCAGCCAGTCGAGAAATAGATACTTGATAACCGGGCTTTAACACATTGTGCTTTCGCTCGGATGCGCACAGCGCTTGTGATTTTGCCGGTGTACCGCTAGGACGAGCCTAGCATCGGGCACAGGCCCACATGCACTATTCTATGCCCTATGCGCCGATGCCTGGATGAACTCGCGGCCGCTCTCCTCATCAATGCTGAGATACCTGACCGGTCACTCATAATGTGGTCTGCTGCTTAGTGTGCCCCCCCAACCCTTCAACGAATGGATCCCCATCTTCAGTGTGTGGCGGGGGGGGCAAGGTGGGGGGGGAGTCTGGCTTTATATGATTTTGAAAGGGATGAGTGAAAATTTCGAAGGGGTCGATATGATCTTAAACGCATACAAATTTACATGGGATCCACATGTTTTCAAAAGCGATGAGCTTGTATGAATTTAAACAGGATCCATATGATTTTAAAACGGATGAGCTTACATGAATTGTTTAGGACCCATGTGATTTTAAAAGGGATCTCGGTACAAAAGCATTTTATAAGGAACTCTTGGCTTTGGGGCTGGCCTGGAGACTTAAGATTTCAGGGCCCGACAACCTCAGGCCTCAAGGTTTCAGGCTTCAAGTCTTTGCTCAGGCTCAGATCTTTGGTCTCTAAGGCGTGGTTCAGAAGCGATTTCTAGACAACACTCTATTCAACAGCCTCGCCGAAATATTGCATCGTCCGAATTTCTTTCACAATTCCGGGAGGACCTCCTCAAACAGACCACGCTGAATAGTTTTCGGATTTCTTTCACAATTTCGGGGGACCACACTAATCAGGATACAACATGAAGTGAGTTTCTGCACACCTGGTTCTATACATTGATGAACCGCCTTATGTAGAGTCTTTGGGGTTTGCATCGTTCGAAAAGCAACGCTTGCGATTTCGAACTGAGTCACGCTATGTTCGGCTAATTCCACTGAGCGACACCAAGTACTCAATGCTCTCCATCAGGTGCTCGTATCCCACAAGCGGCTGGCAACCGCTCCAGACCTTTGTGCAAGAGAGCGAAGTGGTTGTGCCCAGCAAGTGCACTGCCACAACTGCCACAACAACAGTTCTACATCAGCTTGCCTAGCTTGCAAATGTTGGTGCTGCTCGAAACTGCTCGAGTTGTCAAACTGCCTTCGGCACTGTTCACAACAGAGCCATGGGCAAATGTTGCCACGAGCACGAACTGCTCCCTGCGCTACAGTACAGCTTTGCGCAGATCTGGCAAGGGGCACACATCTGGGGTCTTGCAGTCTGAGTGTGCTGGAGGAGTTGTTTAATACACATGTTTCCTGGATTTTCCCCTAGTGTAAGTAAGGCACAGCAACGTAAAGGGCATTAGCTGCCTTTTCCGAGGTCTGAGCCGCTCGGACAATGGTGGGCTCGCGCCGATTGAAGATCATGCGGACGGGCCTTGCACGGCACCGCCGCACGCGGCGCGTCGCCACAAGCACTCAGATAGAGTAAGATTTAGATGACTGCGCTCAAAGGACCCATGGCCGCTATGCATACTGAGGCAATACTTTGGAGGCCAACGAGATTGCGAAGGTCGGCACTTGGGGGGGAAACCCATGACAGGCCTTCGCCCTACTTGTTGGCTGTAAGCCAGCCCTGACCTGTAACCATGATGACAAGGAAGAGGAGCACTGAGCAGCACCCTTATCCGCCAGCTCTTGCTCGGACTCGGCTTTTTCTGAGGGAGATGCCCTGACAGCTTCGGAATGGGTGGCACCATTCCCGCTGGCTCCGATGGCTGAGACCAATCTGACCAGCCTAGGCTGAGACCCTCAAGGGCAAAGGAAGCAAAAAAGGGCAACTCGGCAACTCGGCAACTCTTCGAGGACACGAACATGGCACCACGGCACCCCTAAGGCTGTCACGGATTCCGTCCGACACGCGGACACGCCACTCCACATTGTGAGTGGAACCTTGATCAAGCAAGACAGCTTGTGCAATTCTTACCCCAGTGCTTGCGATCTGCTATCAGACTGGAAATCGTTCAAGGCCAGGACGAAGGCGAAAAGGAACCTCCTTCTTGTCTGGGCGTGACTTGCTTGAACTATTGCCTCGATACCGCATTCTCTGAATCGCACAGAAACCTTCCCGGCGGTTGTCACGAGCGCTCAGATTTTCGTGCTTCAGACAGGTGCCGAGCATACGAGATATGTATGTATGTATATATATATATATAGAAATATAAACATAGCAGTTATTCCAAGGTGCAGGCCTGTTGACATCAGGGAATGCCTGAGGCACTCAGGCTTGGGCTTTTGAGGTTGGTAACCGCATTCAACGTGCTTTCTGCCTTCTGAACTCCTAGACACAAAGCATGAAAGGTGGAGCCTTGTGTCTGCCAAGTCAGCTGTGGCCTCCCGGCACTGGGAGGCATGATGAGGCATGTCAATGTGCCGTTTCATGCCGTTTCCAGTTTACCGGCTGTGGACGTCAGAGGTTCCCATGCAGCCCCTTCCTCCCAACCTCTACAGTAAACTCCAGAAAGTTGGAACATGGTTTAAGGATGATCAGAGCTGGGATTTTCTTTAGTGTACCTTTTGGGGTATGGGGATGAGGACGCCCAACTTTTTGGAGTTTACTGTAATCCCTCCTATAAAAAGACACGCTCGACGGCTGAACCTTAGTATTGCGCGTTGCTGGCTTCCCTACCACACCCCGGCGCTGCCGAGAGTTGGGACCAACTGACACCAGGATCTGTCCCCTTCGTCTCCTTTTCGTCTCCTTTTCGTCTCCTTTTCGTCTCCTTTTCGTCTCCTTTTCGTCTCCTTTTCGTCTCCTTTTCGTCTCCTTCCCAACCGTTTTGAGTTCAGGTCACCCAGGGCTGGTCCTTCTGCGCCCAGTCTGCTTTGCCAGTTTTTTTCGGGGGCCCTCCTGCTGGATCGAACCTTGTTGCTTCCCGCAGGGATTTCTGGGCAGCATCCTTGGAAGCAGTAGCCGGTGTTATCTTCTTGGTTGCGGAGAGTCTGGCGGACAAAATACGGGAACCTCGGCTTCTTCCTCGGATCCGCTTGCTGGAGTGTCTTCAAGGAAGCCACTCGTACCAGGAATCATCGCCCCGTCGGTGTCGTGGCTGCGTCCTGCCTGCGACCCTTTCGGACCCCTCCTGAAACCCTGTTGGGACCCTCCTGGGGCCCTGGAGAATGGGCGCCCATCCCTTACATAGCACCACGCCGAGTGGCCGCAGGATGAAAGAAGCCGACAGTACCCTCATGGAATTCCATCCACTTCTTCTCCATGCTACCAGTAAGACGAAAAACCACCCTCTCCTTTGAAACCTCACAACACAACAGGTAGTGGACGACGTCATGCTAGGGGGCGGGGAGGGACACTACAAGAAACTTGGGGAACAGCTGTTGTTTGACGAGCCGAAGTCTTTGGGGCACGTAATGATTTTGAAGTTCTTTTCTTTTTCTGTAAGGAGTACCTATGGGCAGACGGTAGCTTAGATCAGGTCACATGACCCTTTGCGGATTTTCGCCTGGCTCGGCGAATCTCTGAATGAGGCTGATGGCTGGAACCTGGGCGCTGCTGTGGCTTCCACCCCTGCAGCTTTGGCTTGGACATTTTCGGGTCTAGGCCCGGAGGTTGTTAATGTGTCCTGGCCTCGTCGCTCTTTGCTGCACTCCCGCACTCCCAATGTTGACAACATCGTCGGCCGAATCTCCGAATGGTCGTGAAATTCTTGAGGCGAACCCTGAGGACAGGGAGAGCTCGTCTGCCTAATGGCAGCTGTCCTGAAAGCTGCATATTTCATGAAACATCGCTGATAGAACCGGGCAATTCCAAATCTTTGTGTTGCTCCCATGCTTCAACATGCAAATACCGCTACTGCCAGTACGCGGCGTCTACCGATTGCCTTCGCTGTCATTCCGCACTAGGCGTGGGCTGAGCTGCCCACTGGCTGGTAAGCTCCATCGTTGACTCACCCTCAGAAGAGGCAAGAGACACACGAACCAGTCTTTCGAGAGAGAGGAGAGAGAGCCCAGGGATGGACATGGAGAGGGAGGGCCGAACGGACTGGGAGGGACACACACATCATATATCCGCAAGGCATCGTAGAGGGATGTTTCCTCGTGGCTTTTACACGACAGTGCGTGACAAGGATGAAGATGCCGCCGGGCAGTCAACGTGGGTCAAGCCTGCTAAAAACACGGCAGAGTAGCTGCTGCCGATATGACAAGATACGGTGTGCGAAGGTAGAACACAAAGACTGTGGTGGGCGTGGCTCTTCCAGATTGGCTTCGAGACTCTGACGTCGCGGTCCCGCTCGCTGGGGTCGAAGAACTCCTGCCATTTGATATAGGAGGTTAGTGGTGCTGGCACTGGGCATTGTGGTCAAAACTTTTCCCTGCCCGAAAGCTGCGGATCCATGGCACGCGATCCTAACTTCGGTGAGATGATACAAGGAACGCCACAAGATGTCATGCAAGTAAGTTTAAGAGCGTTAAACAGGATCAGCATGATCAGCATTCCTTTGCCTAATTCGGAACCCTTGTGAAGGGCCTCCTGCCGTTGGTGATAGTGTCCTGCAGTGACATTGATTGAAAAGCCATACATGACAAAGCAGCATGATGACATGTGCATGCCAACAAGTCGACTTGGCTCTGGGGCCGCAGCTCCAGGCGAGTCGTTGCCACTCCTGTGGCGTAAGGCGCCGGGAAAACTCGGCAAGGAGCGACGATTCGTCGGGCCTTGTGAGCGTGTTCAATGGTTCCATCGAATCTCGTATGCCATGCTCGCTATGAACCACAAGTTCTTGGTCTGTATGCTTACTCAGGCCTGCACGAGCGAAGCAACTCAGCCTGACTGTCTTCTACCTGGTACGACTTCGGCAAGGCAGTGCAAGCTGCTGACTTCTTTCATCATTGCTCTTCTCTCCCGCTACTGCGCTTTCTCTCTCCCTCTCTCTCTCTCTCTCTTTCTCTATCTGGTCGAGGCGGAGCACGAGAAGTGCGTCGCCCGTGGTGCACGTGCGCATGGATAAGAAAATGCAGCAATGCCGTAGATCAGTTCTAGATGAGACAGCCCTGAAGTCCATGAAGCCCGACTTGCCTCACTCGCCACTGCCAACCGCTTGACGTCATCAGTCATAGGGGGACTTAGCACAGACAGGGATCCATAAGTTTTAGTCTCGTGCTTCACAGCTTCAGATCGCAAGAGCTAGTCTGAAGCTGCGTGAACCCATACAGAAATACAGAGCATTGCAGAGTCTGCCCATGTCCTGTAAGGTCGAGACAGCTCTATCCATCCTGTGACAGGCTGGAGATGCGAAGCCTCACGGAGGCATGCAGCATCGTGCAGCTGCAAAAAATGGCTATGCTGTGCCAGAACATGTGTATGCACAGTCGTCACAAGGTGGCTACAGGTGCCACGTTTACCCACAACCAGGGACACGCGTCGCATCACGAAGGGTGCGAAAAGAACTGCTCTCCACTACAACAACAACAACAACAACCTTTGCCTGCGGAAGTGAGGTAGAGGGACTTCCATCCTCTGTGAAGTCGGATGCTTCCGAGTCCTGCCAGCATGAATGCTTGTAGTGCTTCGTGCTTCGATACCAGCATTGCTACTAGACTGGCAGAGATTGGCAGAGGAGACTCAAGCATGTTGCACAGGGCGGTCCTCTGAGACAGTTGACTTGAGCGTCTGCAGGCCTGCAAATAGCGGAGCTAGCAGAATCACAGCAGCAGCAATAAGCAGCAAAAAGAACACTTTTTTCCCAGAAGCCTCCTCGCTTCCTTCTCTTCTGGTGGGTCAGAAGGCGGTAGCAGAATTGGTGCTTCACGGCTCCTTCCCAGGCCTCCGATGGCACCATTGAGGGTGTGTTACTGTCAGGCCTAACCACTCGGGGTGTACCGATGACTTGTTTGCATCTTTTTTAAGTCTTGTAACCATACTCTGGTCGCCAGGATTTCACTGCGTTTTTGTTCGTTGAGGAATTTCATCTGCAAGCCGCAGAACCCGCGGCCTCGGCTCTTTGGATCCCTCTGCATGTTGTGTCCCTCCAGGTTTTCGCACCGAAGTCGGACCAAGCAGACTCGTGCTTGCCGAACGTGTATACTCACAAGCGCGTGCGCATTGGCACTCCACACACGCAGACCCTGAGACCTAAACGCTCCAGTGGACTGCAGATTTGATTCCGGCTGGCGAAGCTGCATGAGTTCGCCGTTTCATAGTGACATGCTGCACCATGATGTGATGACACTGGGAAGCCAAGCTTCGCAGCTAAGGCCCCCGAAACACTTAATCCGGTATCATCGGGGCCAGAACCAGATTCTTCCTGATCAAGCCAGGCCAGTGACTCCTTGAGAGGCCTGTACACGATCAAGCTTTCAAGGGTTGGCCCAACCGAGCCGAGGAAACGGAATGAGGGACACTCCCCTGCCATCCCCCTCCCGTGCCTTTGCGTATCACCCCTTCTGCCCCCTCATCAGGCGAATTTGTAGGGCTCAGGGGGCCCCAATGCGGTCAGTACACTCTAACTAAACAATCGGCTAGCGTCCTATGTGCAGCATCATGAATGTGAGGCTTCTGTGCCAAGTCATGCCGCCAATTTTTCCGAACACTTGATTGTAGGATAAACCTCACCATGTTATGCAGACTTTGCAGGCCACAGGGTTCGGGCTGAATCTGCGTCCGGCGGAGTTCTGCTAAGGTTTTGAACTGTTGGGGCAATCTGATCCTGGCCTGGTCTTGGCCGTCGCTTTATCATGTTACAGAAACATACATTCAAGAGATCGTTGCTTTTCGACGGAAAAATACGAAAGGACGCATTTGCCAAGAAACAGCCCGGCTTTCTAGCAGGCATGAGCGAGAATCAGATCTGAAACAGAGTTATGTGGCGTGTCCATTTGATTGAGCTAGTAAGGCGCCGACGGTCCAACGCAAAGAGCCTGCGAGGCGGGAAGCACCTGGGCACCGGACTACTTTAATTCTTCACGGTAATGCAGTGGTGGCTGAGCTCAGCGCGCTGTGGCACCGCCAGCTGTAGGGATGAGGCGGATGGGCTGGCCATGCAAGTTCGAACCTTGGCACGTGAGCATTTTCCATTGCTCTGTCTGCAACTGTCGCTCGTTTGTCCTTGGTCTCCCAGCAGGCCCAGTGGCAGCACTGCAGTGCAATGCAGCGCTAGTCACTGCAACATCTGACTGACCTGAGGGCAATGTCACGGCTTCACCAGTCATCGCAAACAGAGCAACTCGGGGCCGTAAAACTCAACCTTGTGGGTTGCTTTCCAAACTTTCCAAACAATGTACTTGTTACGCAGTGAGGGTAGGTAGGCGTGCGCAGGACATACGCACTCGACAGCAGCCTGCTCGCAGTCGCCAACGCAAGTGGACCGTTTGGGGTTCACCTCATTTTCACTCCGTCAATCGTTGATGCTGTGAATTCGTCGTGGCCAGCAGCGAACCCTCTCCATGCAACCTGAGCCAGCAGCTGGCATGGTCGCTGGAGGTCCAAAGCCCGCTTGCCACCAAGAGTGGAACCTGGCGTCGGCATGAGCTGACTAGCTTACGGCCCAGTGCCGAATGTCCTACCAGGAAGACGGGTTCGCAATGGTCTTCCAACCAAACTTTCTAAGATTCTACGATCGATGACTTGGACGATCCTTTGGATTCCAGTTCGCTGGCCCCCTCTCTCCAGAAAGTCGAGTGTCCAGGTTGCAGAGAACCATTCGTAATTAGAGTTCGCATGCCTTTGTATATATGGGCAGAAAAGAGACACAATGAAGAGATCTTGCAACCCCAAACTCGAGATCTTACGAATCCAACTTCGAGTTCATGCTTCGGGGGCTTTGGGGAAGGGGGTCATATAATTTACTCGACAGACCCCGGTCGAACAAGCAAGCCCGAGACCACACTGTGTTGTCAATCAATTCCTAAACCCTGAGAGTCTCTTAGACCCGCATTGAAGAGAGTCTTGCAAATGGCCCGGCGCACCCAATTGGGTTCGAGCGTTGCCTCCGGTGGAAGTTCGAACCATACCTTGCATGTCCGCTCTGCAGGCACTGTGTCGCCCATTGCGTCGATTCTGCCAATTTCCTCAACGACCCAAGTTAGTACCACTGCAGAGCCCAGTTCCTCTGTGCCCCTTCGATGAGTGGTCTCCTTATAATCTCTGGAAGGCGAGATGTTTGGAGAATGTCCAGTGCTGCCACTCGCAATGCAAGAAGTTACTTCCCACTCACTCCTTTCAGGCTTCTTTTCATGGGTTTCGGTTTCTGGGGACGGACTTGTAGTGTCGTTCTCTTAGGACCCTTGGGTGTGCGTAATGTGTGTGAGTCACCGGTCCTTTCTGGGCTTAGGCACAAGATGCGGCAAGGCCCTTAACAAACACACATTTGGTCTGCATCTTGCATTGCAGGTGGTGACGGGACAGCCTCGCCCCTCTCGAAGTTTGCGAAGCAAACTTGCTGCGCCTGCTGTCCGTCGACATCTTCCAGCTCATTGTGAAATCTTTCTTGCAACCACTCGGCCTTTGGCTCCTTCCAGGGCCCAGTGGCACGACCTTGACCGGATGTGACAAGCGACGTCATATGTGGCCCAAAACTGCCAGACCCTTCAATGAGTGCAGCCCACACCACCCGGCAAGAAAAACGGGGTCATGCCAACCAAGTCAGCTTCCACTCTCTGCGTCACAGACGTATCGACAAAAAGGCCAATTGCTCAGAAAGCGGCCAACAACAGCGTTCTCGCCTTTGGGGTCGAGAGGCCTGAGCGCTGTTCCAGGAGATGCTGGGAGGTTGTCCAGTATGCACTGACATCACTCTCACATCACTGACATGGCTTGCCGGCAGAGCCTTGAAGTCGGATCCCTCAACGATTGCCGCGCCAGACTCGGGCAGAACCTGCAGAACAAGCTCGGAGCTGTTCTTCAAGAGCAGAGGGCGCATTGTGTGCTGGCATCGTGTCTTTCTTTAGATGCCCTTCTTGGATTCGTCTTGGCTTCCGGCTCCAGGGCGTGGCATGCGTCACGGAGCAGCTCCACGGGTCTGCCCTGGACCCGCCATGGCCAGCGCCTAACAAAAACATCGGAGAGTAGACGAAAATGTGCACTTAAGACATGTCGAACCCAGACATAGTCTTCTTTTTTTGAAGAAAATCTAAGGCCCAAACACCACGATATAGCTCGTGGAACCTGGGGCACGCCGAGCGAGGAGTTTCTGCAGTTGCGGCCTGCGTAGCTTCGACAGGGTCCCAGATCGTTGCTGGATTCTTCTTGGTGCAAAGAAGGGCGAGTAAGGTTGGCACGTGGGCAAGTCCGCAACTGGGGCAAGTTCAGGAGGTGCTGGAGGTGGCACGCGCTCAACTACAAACTCTTCCGACCTTGGAAGCGGAGCTCCCAGTGAGATTTTCACGTTTCGACAGCTCTTGCCACACGTGTAACTAGGATGTGTCGCCAGTACTCCAAGTGGTTCGGGACACAGACACAATGGCCTCCTAAATTTGCAGGCCGATACCCTTTCAACATGCCGACTTGAGATCTGCTCGACGGTGTGTCTGTCTTCTGAACGGTTGGCATACGCTTGCAGAGGCAGGTCGCCCTGTGTTTCTAAGGCCTTTTGCAAGTGTAGAGTATAGACGAACCCACATCACAACGTGCTGGCTCACAACATGACATGGTACCGGAAAGTGGCACAGTGGACTCATTCGTGGAGGCAGTATCAGCCTTTACGTACACTTGCGCAGCGAAATCAAGGAGAATCAGCGCTCCCAGTCAGTAGCCCGGTTACACAGCAAGCTATGCTTTATGGCGAGCTCCGAGCTTCATCAATGGAGTCCACCTTGCTTGCACATACATGCCATTGCCACGCGATGCCGTGCTACCTGGTTGTTGCTGCCCATGCCAAGCTCGCTTGAAGCAGAATGTCGAATCTGAGTTCGGAAACCAATGGACAGCCGTGTTCGTCTCAAACCGAGCTTCAACTGTACCTCAGAGTCTGTGGCATCTGCCAGGACTGCAGATGGCAGACGCCCGGTGCTGCAAGGAACATTCCGGCTTCTCCACTGGGGAGCCGACAGCGGAAGGTCTTGTCGGGCAGAAGGGCCGGCAAACACCACTTGATCGCCGTGACCTGGGACAGCGCACACAAGTTGCAAACGCTGCATTGCGTGGCATGCTCGTGGCTCGCTTCGTCACATTGAGAACCCATTATGATCCTGAGAAGCGCTCCGTTGCATCCCCATCTTTCTCGGGAAAGGCGCTGGGAGGCCTCGCTGAGACTTGGTTATGTCGCCCAGGCTTGAGCACTGCCATCGATGCACTCTTTACAATGTTTCGTAAACTGCATTTGCCACTTTTGCTATCCTTCGATGACACCAGAGTTTTGCCGCATCGAGCCAGCTGAATCCGGAGGAATGAGGACTCATTTGCGCATTCAGGAGCCAGGAAACAGAGTGCCCAGCAGGTCACACTGGCGGTACAGCAGATCGCCAGACTCTTGGCTGTGAGCCTTGAAGCAAACCACAGCTGCAGTGAGGGCAAGGGCCTGGGGCTGGCCCGTATGCAAGGAGGCACTACTGGTATGAAGGGCGCTTGCTCCAAGACAGTCGTCAGCGACCATGTGGGCCCGTGGACAATGACGGCACGTGACAGCAGGTTTGTGCACAGTGCCAAGGATCATTTACCCAAAAGCGCCCCCTCGCCCACTCCCAGATTTGTCGGGGCCTTCATGTCATCCTCAGGCGACAATGTTCTGGCCTGCGAGGGATGCAGATCGCCGTTGGATTCCCGATTGTTGTTAGTATAGAAAGGATCGAAAACACCGGATTCCAGCAGCTGGAACAAAAGCATCAACAGCAGCGCCGATGGTGTCCTTCACGCGTCCGACCACAGACCTTTGTCTGCTCACATCACCCTGTCAGAGCTGCCAAATCTCCTGGTGCACTTTTCAGCGCAGCCAAGCAGCCTCAACCCCTCAAGCACTCACTCAACGATGGCCCTGTGCACAGTTGTGCAGAATGCCCTCGAGGTGATACACGACTCGATCCCCGTGAAGCGACCGCTTCCCACTTCGTCGAGCGTACTGTCTTCACTGACAGAGTTGATGAATGTCGTGCCGTTGTGGCTGTACATGTCCTGCATCGCTGCGCCCACCATGTAGGACGTCGCACGTTTGCCCATCGCCGCGTAAACGCGCACAAGTTTCGCCACGGCAAAGCAGCCATGCGAATCATTCACCTCTGCGTGCATCCAGCTCTGGTCGGATGTGCGCGCGTGCGTGTCCTCATGCACAATACAATGTAGTCGCACGTAGTCGCCCGGCAGCGTCTCAGAATCGAGCGCAGCCATCACTGCCTCCGGCGCGATGTTGAAATCTTCAGAAATCTCGTCCAGGTAAGCTGCAGGCCAGCAAGCGCCTTGCGCAGGTTGGCCGCGCCGCACAAATCAAGCTGCAAGAGATGATGATGCCGAGCGACGTATGTCTGCCGTCGTGGCTGCCGTGCATTTGGCTGACAATGGCGATCGTCGCCACGGCTCAGTCGTCTTGGCCCATCGCCCCGGCCTGTGTGGCGAACCAGACGGCGCACGCCGTTGCTGCTCCATGAGGACCGAGTATAGGCAGTGCAAGCGCGTTGTTCATCAGGGCGTGAGGTGACCGTGCCATCGGTTCTTGTGCCAGGGCACTGTTCCGAGCGCCGAGTGCCGATTGAGGGGCCGGCCTGCATGCTCCCACGCTTTTCCTCCTCCAACGATGGAGCAGCGCGGCGAGCACGGCTGCCCATGCTCAGCGGCAGGAGAGCAGCGGACCTCATCCTGTCGCCATCGGCCTCCGCTTGGGTCGGTCAAGCTGCCTTGTCTTCACCGCCTCCGCTTAGGTGCGTCAAGCTTTCATGTATTCTGCCTTTCTCGGCCTCCGCTTGGGTCTGTCAAGCCGCCCTGCCTTCACCGCCTCCGCTTGCGCGTGTCAAGCCTTGCCGCCTTCTGCTCCCTTCGTTTGCTTGGCTCACACGCAGTTTGAGCATCGAGAGGGACTGTGAGAGTGGGTGCTTGGAGGTTTGTGGCTTTATAGGTTTTTTGCCGCCCTCATACGCAGTGGTAGGCTTGTTCCGCGCCGCCCTCAGAAGCAGTGGCCTCGCTTATGCTACGTACATATGTGGTACATTAGTGACCCTGCAGTGCTCTCGCCCTCAACTGCAACGAAATGAGGCAGCTTTGCTGCAGCAGGTGTCGGCTTTGTGCGCGCTTCGCTTTGCATGACGCTGTAAAAGCTGTAGAAACATGGATTGATTTTTTTCTATGGGGCTTCGAGCTTGGAAGTGCATTTTAGCCCCGAGCCTCCTTCTTCTACATCTTTTTGTGTTGCAGCTCCTAAAAACAAAGTCCAACCTCGCGAGGCTTCAGCTCCAGCATGAAGCCGAAATCCCGGCTCTACAAACCGAGGTTGCATTCGATGTTCAGCGCACCTGATGCTCAAGCTCGGGAGAGTCCGGAGCCGGGCCAACCAGCCACACCTCAGTGCACTGTGTGACGGTGCAAAGGGCAAGCTCCGGCCCCGCCCAAAGCACACAGATGCGAGAGTTCATCGACAAGCACTAAGTACTCTTTAACTCTGTGTGTACGTTCGATGGGTGAATCCGCCAGTCTGGTCCGGGCTTGCGACATTGAGGCGGTAGAGAAGCCGCGGCGGAACGAAACGAGGCAGGCTGCCTGTCCTTGGCGATGTCTGAAACTTCAACTCCCACCAAAACCGACCCCTCCAGTAGGTCCTGAGGTCCTAGACCTCTCTCAGGGCTCAGCAACCGGAAGAAACATGCAAGCCACGATATCTGGGCATTGGGCTCCAAGATTCTCTCCAGCACTGGAAGTTCACGGGCATCTGGCTGACCTGACGAGACACTGATGAGGGCGCCCACATCAAGAAAGAAGAGCTGAGCAACAAGATCCGATAACCAGGGTTGGATGGGAATGCGACAGCACGAGTGCCGACAATGGCCGGTTGTGCTCAGATCGCCCTGGGGCCCCGAGCTGTAGGCGTAAGGAGAAAGGTTGGGCCAGGAGGCCACAAACTGACTCATTCTGGCTGTTGCGGCTATCACCTCGTCTGTGCTCAAACAACTTGCACCAACTTATCTACCTCTTCTACCTCGCAGTAGCCCCCTCTCAATATCTAAGAGCAATATGCGCTCGCCCCACTGGTGGAAGGGCCGCAGGTGCTACCACGTGCCTGAACGTCCTGCAGAGCTTGCCCCTTCCGAGATGCAGGCATCGGAATCATCGGTTGGCGGTGGTCGCGCCACGGAGACCTGCATAAGCCACTCCTTTGCTCACCCGTATTCTCTCCGACATAATCTCTCTCTCACATGCCATAGAATCCATAGAAGCTAGGGCTGCTGTAGTCTGGACGGCACATTCCCAATGCTATGCCAAAATACCAACCATGTAAGCTTCAATAGGATACTGGTATCACAAATCGGCCGCGCACCCAATGAGGCGGCTCCATTTGCCCGCTTTGCCTTGGCTGTCTGAAATTCACAGCCATCCACACTGCAAACATGTGGAACAGAGGACGAACGCCAGCTCGCAGGACGAGTGATGATAGCACGCAGGAGACTGCAAAGGAATGCTTGATCATTTCCGTGTTTTTGACAGTATGTGTTTGGGATTCCGATCATGAATATGCCGAGGCGGACAGGAGCCCCTGAAACGCTTGAGACTATCAAGACTGATGTTTGCGACGCGGCGTTGACCGCGAAACAGCTGCGGAGCATCCTCGCGCCGTGACGGTATTGAGATGCATTGAGGCATCTTGCTGAGCACCATGCGAAAAGGTGAGCTGATCAGTCAGTGACTCAAAGAGGTCCACTTGCTCCGCAGTCGCCACCTCACTGCCGCACGCTCAAAACTTAGCTTTCCCTGTCTTCCGGCTGAGCATCTGATGCTACCGCGTGAGTCATTAAAGGCACGCGCTGGCTGTGCTGGCATGGGTCTGAGCCGATACCATGCCGTACAACGCTAAGAACACTGCCTTTTGTTGTTCACCCCTTATCCAGTGCACCGGGACAGCCACGCCACGCTGCACCAGCGCGGCCGGCGCGACGTGACAGAAACTCTGCAGCGCTTGCTGCTGCACCGCATGTTCTGGGGCACACGTCTGGGTTTCCGGCTACTTGGTCGTCAGCAAACAAGATCCTCCAACATGTGCAACACATTGCGCGGCAAAGATTTGACCCAGCCAGTGTTATTTTTCAGATTGAAGAAGCTGGTTGCTGAGACCTTGCAGTGGTGCTCCCCTTTAGCTGCACATCGTTGAGCTGCTGGGTTTTTTGGGAGAAGTGGAAGAGATCCTGAATCGGCCGGGCCTTTGAAGCTCCTCCAGCGCCACCGGCGCATTCTTCACGATCTTGGGCCTCTCCGCATCTGCCACTCAGCCCTTCATACCAGCTTAAGTCACTGAAGCTCTTGAAGCTCTTGAAGGACTGAAGACATCCCAAGTCTCGGGCTCTATGGCAAAGCAACAGCGCTCTGAAGGCGAGGACCTCAGAAGCTAACAAGGGCGACAGAGGGCCATGGTGAGCATGAACGGCATAAAACGGCGGTTCGGAATGGATTCAGTGTCGACGTCGTCGGGGCTTTCACATCCGGCTTGCCAACACAAAGCATTTGCACGAGAACGGGGCCAATCGCTCCAACGGTAGCCGTCGCTGACACGAACTGAGAACCTTGGCCCACTTGGCGTTGCGACAGCTGCGGCCCTCGCTGGTCCCGGATTCTTTGCACATGGAACTCTTTTAGCTCTTCTCTGCTCCCCTTGCCCAACTCCTGAAGGCGAAACTCGTTACCCGAAAGCCAAAGCCCTGTCAGCTTAGTATCGCCAAAGGACTTTGCTGCAACGTCGCAGTTGTGTTCAGGAGGTGTCAATACTCCCATGTTGCGTTTGTGGTATATGTGCGACACCGCTAACATGCAGCCTGTTGAACACGTTATTCCACAACATACCGAACACAGTGACGACAGAACGAAAAAATCCCAGACCGCCGAAGTGTCGCAATTCGCACATGTTTGCTTCTGACATCCCATCCTGTATGGAATCTGCTTTACCCCACAACTTGGGGGGCCGCAGCAACACACCATGCACGTGGGCAGCATTGAGTGGAGCTTCTGTAGAGCATACTGTGCGCTCATACAGCGCTTCCAATACCCAACGGTTCACCAGGCATGTCACTCACCAACTACAATAGTCTACCTCAAGATGACTATCATATGCATCCTCCGTAGCAACTCTCCAACATGTTTGAAAGAGAGAGGGAATGAATTGAGAACAGAGAGAGAACCGCACAAAGAAGGTTCTCTCGCAAGCGCTGGGAGGCCGGACTCGTAGGTCATTGCCTCCTGCGTGGCGTATCACAAAAGTCATAGATGGTTTCGATATCACACAGATTGGCACTACGTTTCGCACCGTTGCATATTTTTGCAAATTCCCGGGGACAGGATCTACACTGATGGACTTTCCTATGGCACGTGTTTAAAATTCTCCTCAGCTCTGCGAGCGCCGCAAGGCTGATGAGGAAGGTTCCAGCTCTGGTTCTCCTTGCGCTGCAATAGTTGAATAGGTGTGAGTGATTTTCGGGTTTCGCTCCTCTTCGACTCGAGCCGGAATCCCACGAGCAATGTTCATGTGAGGAACACTGGCAGGTTTGAAGTTCGGTGATTCGTACGTTTTACAACTCTCAAAAGGTTCTAGGGCATTCTAGGGGACCCGTGCTGCGATCTGCGAAGCGACGCCGTTCCTCCGCCAGGACGGTGTCATCCAGCAGGTTGCAGACTTCGAATACGTGAGGTGCTGGCACTCCATCTCGAGACCTGCGCGACTTGATTGCATGTCATTGCATGTAATAACGCGCAACCGCTACTCCAGCAGTATTGGAATGGAAGTGCAAGGCAAAGGCACAAAATGAAATTCGCTCCGGCCTCCAGCCGAGAGGCGTCTGGGAGCTCTGGTTCTTTCCCCCTTTTTTAACCTTTCCTCCCACCAGAAATTCTAGCCGACCCCCCGAACTGCTTGGGAACCGCAATCCGATGCCGTTGGGGTCAAGCCTCTGGGTCACTCCCACAGTAGGCGCGGCAAAAGACACGAAGAAACTGTCGCCCGAGAGGTTCTTGCCACAGCTGTTTGAGCTCTTCTTCGGTTTTTGACCAAACTCTCCCCGCCTGCCGAGGCGGGGCGCGCAAGAATTTACAACTACGTTGGTCAGCTGTCCCGCAGAAAGCAGATATAGAGTGACGTATTTGTGAAGTGGGTGGCAAGGAAAATGAGATAACACATGGCTTATATCAGGCGAAAGGAACTTCATGAAACTCCACCAGCATAGCATTGCCCACGTCCCAGACGTTGTCTCCAAGCCTCTGTACGGTGACCGGTGGCAGTGTGCGCTTGACCTTTCGGTGCTGAGGGTAAGGAACTCAGGGACCACTGAGCACTGCTGAGCACTCTTCCAAAGGGCAGTGTTTGCAGCGGCGAGGGTGCCAGACTTTGCCAGCAGTCGGGCCGTGCCCCATCGAATTCAGAACCTGGAGCTCCTAATGGTTGTAATGTGGAAGGTAGCATTGACGAGTAGCTGCCTCCGAACCTCTTCCTCAATACATGCCCCGTGGCATAAAAGTATACATCAGGCAGCTCCGTGGCACAGATTCGATCTGATTCAGCAACTCTCGGGGTCCACGCTACGCATGTGGGAGATGGTCTTGAAATTTACGATCTAAATCTAAATTTTAGCTATCTTGGGCACGCACCCGGCAAGCTAAGAACTCATGTGAGCGGCGCGACAGATCAGACCATGTTTCGGTCTGCTGAAGCTTGCCGCTGTGACAATTGGACAAGGACGACGCTCTGCCACGCCCCTCAAAGTGCAAAGGTTGCGGAACCATCCATGGAAACCAGTCCTCAGTGGGTGACAGGCATCGCTTCTCTGGTGTTTGCTTGCTGCTTGCGTCTGAACACATGGATGAATATCGGTGCTGCGTCACACGAAGCCTTTTGCGCCATGTCGTCTACTCTGTGGTTTCAAGTCGTTAGTCCTGGCCTCTCGCAAGGCACATGACGGTAAAGTCACGTCAGAAAACAGTCTGGTTTGATCTTTGGACGATATCCTTCACTAGTTGAGCCGCTTGTGACTTCTCATGGCCAGCCGTAATAATTAGAGCCATAAAGGCAAAACGCCAAGGCAGAGAGGCTGCTTGTCAGCCCCCACAAATCAAGCGCCGTAAAAAATGGCATCGCGTCTTTTCTTGCTCGACCGCTGGAATTTCGCTATCACTGGGACCACGTGGAAAGCCTGCAGCAACATCTCCAACCGGCACAGATTCTAAATGCATCAGAGCATCGGTCGTGAGTGTGCTCCACATCCGATTTCGTGGCCAAAAGCTTCGTCATCTCATCCCTATCAGCCTTCAAGGACGATGAATGCATAGGCACAAGGGGATGCTGCCAGAAAGCCCATCAGCTGGGCTGTCTCAAACGCAACACGTCATGGTCGTGAAATGGTCAAGCAGAACCTCCAGCAGCTTGTGATTATTGAAGAATTTCGCAGCAATGCATCCAGCAGGTTACACCTAGAAGAAGCCGTCCCCATCTTGAGCAATAGCCCTTTGATCATCGTAGAATCATTTCTAATCCCGGAAAGCAGACCCAAGGAAACCCGAACAGATTGCCAAGGCTGGCCATGTGAACATGGCGATATCGGTTCAAGGTGTGACTCAGGGTGTAAGCTGTTTGATGTCTGCTCCTTTGCCAGTTGAGGAGCTCAAAGCTCATGGCACTCATGCCATCTTGAAGCATCGGGAAATCAGTTTGCGGTGGTACTGCTACCTTCCGCTATCTTTGGGAAAACAACACACAAGCAAGAGTGGCTTCTTACATGTAGCATGGGTGGCCTTTAGCTCCAGCTTGCCCAGAATGGTTTCGTAGTCAGCCTGCAGCACAGGGGTCGCACCCTCTGTTTGTCAAGGCACGGAGCGTGACAAGTAGTTTTTGGCTATCCCTTCCCATGTTGAGGTAGTGCTTTTGCTAACTTTTGCTAACTTCAGAACTGCGGACCCGAAAAGAATGGGACTGCCAGTGAGCCCCATGACACCTAGTTCATGCCATCCATTCTATCCAAGCCCTTCCGTGGACTCGGAGCCAAGATTCGCCGACCTGATTCCTTTCACGCATCAGACTACTGGTCCGGCCCCACCTTGCGATTGCCATCTAAGGAGGTCAGCCGCTCTTCCTGATGGCTAGAGGGCCCCTGCTTGCTTGACGGTTGCTTCATGGTATTGGCAGGCTGGAGGAGGAGTTCGCTTTGACCTGTCGAGAAAAAAAAAGTCTCCTGTTGCGGGACAAGGCTCCGCCTGTCTTATGCGCGGCACCAGAGGCAGACCTGCAGGACCCTCAGGATACTGTGCCCCGTTTGACGCCTACGGCACACTTCTGTCAAGTCACGCATGCTCGACATCAGACGATATGCAACATGCGCACCGTCTCCTGAAATGGTCACGCTCTCGAAAACTCTCTACCACAAACAAGGGGAGAACACGGGGAAGTATATTTAAAACACCCATTGTAATGCTCTGCGACTGATGCACGGAGGTATGTGCGGGGCTGCCTGCAGCTGCCTGCCTGTACTGGCCGGCAGGGCCAGTGGAGCCAGTGCAGTGGGTCGCTGCGGGCCCAGTCACGGGCTCCGTGATGGGCTCCGTGATGGGCTCCATGGGCTGGGTGGATACCTCTGAGACTGAGAAGTCGACTAGAGTGAAAAGTTAGAATGAAAAGCGACTTGAGGTGCTTGGAGACGTGCAGCCAGGCCTGTGACTGGTCCGGCTTCTCATCAACGAAGACGGCTCGCGCAGGCAGCTCGTCGCCCCAGAGATGTCTGCACAGCTTTTGCAAAGTGCAGCTTGAGGGCTTGAGGGCTTGAGGGATCGATTCACGGGATGGCGCCAAGCTCTGGATGTCTGCGGAAATTTCTGACTTGCCGATTCCACCTCAGCAAGGCTGCGATGTCTTGTCGGTTGCTATCCGAATCTTTCCGGATCCCGGCGGAGTCCTGAGCCACTCAAACGCAGACCGCCGAGCTTACCTGCAATACTGGCACTGGTAGTTTGCCTTCAGGCACCCGAGAACATCGCGAGATTTAAAGGAACGAACGCGGACCAGCAGTAATTATTATGCTGCTTATCCCAACCAGCATCAGCCGATGTAAATTTGAGCAGAGAAAACGATGAGAACAAACTAAGAGAACGGGCGCTAAGAATTCCGATTTGCTCTGTCGTGCTCCTTCATGTAGTTTCTCGCCTGGTCATGAGAGTTCATGGCCCTTCGCGGCTCTTCATATTTCCGCATGCTGCTTCATTCCTTCATTCCTTCATTCCTTCAGGCTTGTCCACTTTGCAGCTCTTCAGTCTCCCTGGGTCGAGCAGGTGATAACAAAGCACAGGCAGTATGGCATGTTCAAGGGTATGCGCTCGACACGCGGTGCTTTAATACGGACTGCAGCAAAGCGCGCATCGTTTCTGAAATCCCGGTCAAACTTACAAAGCCTGAACCCATTCTAGATCAGATGCGCCCCTTTGCTCGGAATCTCAGTGCAGGACCTTTCGCAGGCCGGCGTGCACCTCCTGAACGCAGTCATGACGGCAGACTTTGACCAAAGTGATCTCCGAGCTTTCAAACACATCACATGTGGGCAGCTCTGTAAGTTGTGGATGCGGTCGCTCAATTTAGGCTAGACCCCCCAAAATGGGACGATAAGTTTTAGAGACCTTGCGCCATGAAGCAGTTGCACCTCGAGGCGGCCCCCCAATCCTTTCAGCTCACGGTCCAGAGCCTCAGGGCACCGCGTGTGGGCTTGGGATGCTTTGGGGGTGTGGGCGCATCCTGCTCACTTGTCAAACCCCAATTCTTTCCTTTGATGTCTGAGGTGCAGCTGGTCTTGCGCGTGAACTCTCAGGAAACGCTGCCGTCCCACAGCTCTTGTGGGGCAGCAAAACCAGGATCACTCCAACCCCCTCCCCCCCCCCCCGCCCCTCCAAAAAAAGAACAAGAAACAAGCAAGAAGGCAGGTCGAACTGTCCGAAAGTTCATCTCTCGAACTTCCTCTCTCTACCCCTGTCTCTGCAACTCGCCCATCGGCAGTTCCCGGCCTCCGCGCGGCCGTCCAACTCACGTCGGAGCTGATGCTCCAAAGTGACAAGAGACTGCTCAAGCTGGCGCCACGTGTCCTGGACCAGCTGCACGGAGTCCAGCCGCAACTGAGCTATGGCCGTTTCCCATGGTTTTTCCCTTTACATCAGGTCGTTGGGAGCGCATGCCCTTGCTTAAGATAAGTGACCATAGACATCGACACATATATATATATATATGTGTCATATATACATTATATGTATGTGTATATGTAGATATGCAGGTAATTACGTATGTATAGTATGCAAATTGTATGTGTTTATATGTACGCACAGGTCACTGCCAGCATCCCTGCACCTTTGCCTGAAACTCATGCTGTGCGCTCATTGCAACTTGCCCGCATTGCGGTGATCAACGCGCAGTGCTCATCCATCTAAGTGAGAAGTGATCACACCATTGAGTGGTCCTTCATCTCTTTCGCTGTGGGTAGTTCAGCCACCTCACAAAAAATGCGCACACTGATGCAGAAGGGCAGAATACTCATGTGAGAGTAGGAAAACGAGTCCGACTTTTCTGGCATGCGGGGCCGTGCGTGATCCATGTGCAGTGACAGTTGCATGCAAGAACAGCACGCTTTACAGCACCTGAGCATCTTTGCTTCCACTTACGTCATGAGGGCAGCGTCACGATTCTCATGTTCCGAAACAACGTGCTAAATCGGAGCTTTGCAGCCAAACGACTGCCGCGAGGCTGAACACTGGGTCGCTGGGTAGCATGGTCAAGAAGCCCGTTCAACAAGGCAGGCGGAGAAAACTGAGTGTGCGTGAAAGAGAGAGAGAGAGAGAGAGAGAGACGCAGAGAGAGACGCAGAGAGAGAGAGAGAGAGAGAGAGACGCAGAGAGAGAGAGAGAGAGCGAGAGAAGTAGAGAGAAAGCAAAAAACAAACAAAACAAAATCTAGTGCAGAAAGCGTACACCGATAGCGACAGACCGAAGAAAGACACCGACAGAGCAACAAGGCGAGAAGGAGGGAAGGAGGGTGGGGGCGAGGAGTGGGAGGTGACAGAGGTAGAGGGCGGCCTCGATACCAAGCTCGGTCACTCTGGCCCCCAGGGATTCCTTGGCCCGTCGCTCTAGATGCAGCCTGTTCAGCTATAAGAGAGCAATGACAAAAGCGGCACACCCAAAGTGAGAAAACACTCAAGCCGAGCCATAGCCAAGCATCGAAGGCCATCCTTGTCGACCGTTGGCTTGTTTCGCGCTCATGCTCCAAGTCTTGGCTGCACAGGAGATCGAGGAACTCCGAAAGGGGCACTGGCGTGCAGAGACGTGTTGAAACATGTTTGAACGACACTTGCAGTTGGGTCAGCCTTCAGCGCATAGAGCACACGGAGAGTCGTAGAGCAGAACCGCATGGAGCATGCGAGAGCGCTACGGGATTATCTTCATCGTCAGTGTGTATTTCATTTCACAAGCCCAGTTGAGGCAGAGGAACTCGAGAGGCGGTACTCCAGGGCAAAGGTCTGCTGTGAAGTCTGCTGCAGATTCCTCGGAGAGCATCCAGAAAGAGCGCCTACGGATTGGGGGTTGCCTTTCCACCACACTTTGTTCCCAGCTCTTTTCAAAAAATGTTGCAGTATGTTGCAGTCTCTTTGATGCCAAAGGGCTCATCCAGCAACTTCACCAGGCGGGTCTGCTGCCCGAGTTCGGAGGTGAGCCTTCTGAGGCTGCGTCTTCTCAAAGGTAGATCATGGGGAGAGGGTGCGGCTTGGGCATACTGTGATGTACCCTGAATAGAGGCCATGTGCATGTCGAATTTAGTCGGATTTTCGGCTGCGAGGATGACACGAGATGTGCTTGGTGGCTTGTTGCGATGGACCGAAATCATGCGACCATACACAGCACGCTCTATGTTGAGGAAGATGTGCACGCAGTCATGGACAGCGACAGTTTTCGTGTGCTCTGAGGCCAGATGCTTCATGGAGACCCTGTGTACAGTCCAAATAATGCGACCACTTTCAGCAGAAAGCAGGGTTCGAGTTTTCGTTGCGACAGGTAGGGTCGCATCGACATGTCACCGTGGCAAGGTCGAACACCACAACAGCCGCCATCGAAGACCCCACCACAAAAGTACGCAACCGCCTGAGATGGCTCTCAGCTTTTGCATATCGTGAACTTTCATTCCAGGTTGCTTGCACCCGTGTATTTTGCGGGACTTGCAAGGCTTTTGTGGATGGCATTTTGACTTCCGATCAGTAAAGGAGTGCTTCCATTGATTGGCTTCAGCTTTGCTTGACTTCCAACTCCAGGCAGGCGAAGAGACTTGGCGGATATGATGTAGCTGACTGACGGAATCGCAAGGAGCGACCTCAACATGTTCAATCCAAATCAACCTCGACGACGCTCAAAGTCTTCCCTCCAATTATGCTGTGCGCCCTTGGCAGGCCCCTTGCAAGACAGGGAAATGCAGGCTCGAGCCACCAAAGTGGCATGTGTATGACTGAAAGCAATGCTCACATCTTCGCACGACAAAGAACCGGAAGAAACAACAAGAGAGCCAAGCAGAAGCAGCGCACAAGCAGGGGAATGAGGGCTAAGAGCCTTCATGTTAGGACACCGAAACGAAGACGCATCACAACCCTGCCGCTGTAGCCTAACGTGTGGGATCTCCTTGGTGAGCCCGGAACCACCACTGAGTAGAACCCGCATCTGCAACCTGGAGGAACCCGAGTTGCCCTGCCCTGTCCTGGCGATCTCTTGGCTCTGCTCTTCAACGTTCTTTCGCAGTCGCCGCAACTGGCTCTCTGCATCCATGGCTCTGCACCGAAACTGAGAGGGGAAGTGCGTGCTCTCGTGCTCTCCACTGTCTGAAGGTTGCCTCTGCATGTTGAGAGGGTCTGCTGGTTCAGGAGTAGGATAGGGTCGAGCGCTTGCATTGTTCTCTGTGTAGTTTTAACAGTTAAGCCGCTTGAGCCGCTTTTCGGCTGCGTTCTTCTCTGCCGTAGCAATGTGCAAAAGCAGACGCAACTTCCATTCTATGCCCTTCCCTCTTGCAGTGACGATGTAAACCTAGAAGTAGACTCTGCTCTGCTCCGTCAGAGAAGACTCGGCATGCTCGAATGAAATTCATGCCCTCCAAATCCCCTGGCCTGGCTCTCCACCCAACCGCCATCGTGCTCGTAAGCTGGTCGGCGCATGCGAACCTGGCAGGTTTCACCCTATGGCCGCTGCATTGCTGCAATGCGGCAACACAACCCCGAGGAGCTCCGGCGCTGCTGCAGCCGACAGCAACATCAACCAACACATCCCAGCTAGAGGCTTCATCGCATTGGGCCATGCCTCAGAACCATCCGACTCTATCCGGATATTGTGATCTCTGCACCTAAGCAGCACGCGGGTGTTTTCTCATTTTTTGCCTTCAGCAAAGCAAGATTTGTCATCGTTGCCTTCGGCAACGAACGGAAGTGTCTAACATCTCTTCGAAATGTAGACTCGAAAATGGCCGCACACTCGAACTCGAAGGCACCAAGGGCATCATTGTATCATGACATCATGGCTACCTCCTTCGAATCACAAAGCCTGGATGGACTGTCCTTTGCAAGCCACTCCCGGGCTTCGAAGGCGACTTCTCGGCTACTCAATTTTGGAAAGCTCGGAAGTCAAGTCTGCCTCGCCGGCACCCGCCAGGCCTTCGATTGCCTGAGAGTGAAGTACACCCCATGGTTTCAGACATCTAGACATTACAAAGACAGCCACTATCAGCCGCTTTTGATATGTTTCTAATGGTTGCACTAACTGGTTGCTAAGGTGTCGGGCTCAGGCATGTACATTCTGCCAAAACCAAGTGGCAGCGTCGAATGCCCCAGAGAACTTCAGTAGATTCGGCCGCTTCTCTGGATTTTCCTGGTAAGACGCGGTGATCCTGGATCGCATCCGATCACCTCAACGCCAAGCTCGAGAAAATGCTCCGCAGAAAGAGAAGCCAAAGGACCCCAAAACGCACTAACTCAGAGGCCAGGAGCACTGAGGCTTCATTCCAGGCACGGAATGCTTTCAAGGGTTGCTTTAGGTTTCGCAACAGAGGCTGCCACACAGGGTCTGCTTGGAGCACGCTCGCCCGTAAAGAGGAGACGAGCAACCCAGAAACTTCAGGGAAAAGTATGGTAGAGGACTGTACAGTACCTTCTTTTCTTTCAGGCTGCCAAGGGGCACATCGCTCCCAGACGTTGTCGCTGCTCGGCTGCCAAGCCCTCCTCTGAAGACCCGATGACTTGCCAGTAGATGCTCAAGTTTCCTTGGCAGCTCTTTCGTACTATTCCCATGCTACTTCCTACATGCAAGTCCACGACCTGGAGGAAGACATGTTGCTTGGCGGTGCGCTGAACCATGAACTGCCAGCCTTGCTGGCTGAACAAAAATGGGTCGTGACAAGCCGGCACACCACTCAGCCACTTTTTCTCCCTAGAGGCTGATGTTTTTCAGCACCATCATGGGGTTCATGCCGGATTCCTTCCCAAGCTCGGTTTCCGCATCCAGAAGGTCCTGCGGCCAACGCCGACTCTCTACTGCCGGCTGCATGCCGAGAGTGAAGAATCGAGCCACAAAGCGAAGCAATTGTCACCCGCGAAATCTGATTTAGCAACCATGTCAGGGCGAACGCCCAAATCCTCCTGCCCAGAGCCAGACCCCCCCCCCCCCCCTGCCCCCTCCCATAAAATTGTTTTAACATATCTTAATATTGCAAGAATTGGAAAAAAGGAAAGATAATTCGACTCACACTTTGCTTAGGCTCCTGAGATGCTCCAGCCGCTGCCAAGGACAACAAGAAGTCGGGGCAGCAGGAATCCAGCGACCTGTCGGGGAATTGTAGACGGGTGATGCGGAGCGCCGTCTCAGTGTCTCGTGAGTTCTAATCGAACTATGGCCAGCCCTCGAAACCCACCTAAGAAAAAGACACCACCAGCCCCTCCCCCTCCGTGCTGCCACATGGCTTCTGGGTCTCGTCCATTCTGTGAGCGAAAGCCATGAGAGCCTCGCAAGGCAATACATGAAACCAACAAGGCTGGGTGGGATACTCAAAGAGACATGCGCATCATGGCAAGGCGCCTTGAGTTTGGCCTGTTGATCTCCCTTGGAAGCACTGGTGCAAGCTGCAGACATTCTTGTCTTCAGCATGTTGAAGGCGGCCACCAAGCGCTCCCTCAACTCTGAAGACTGCGCTTCTGGCCACAGGGGGACGATCTCCATCAAGTCTTTTAGAATAACGTTGGGGTTCATACCTTTCTCCTGAGCAAGCATGCCATCCACCTCGTCCATTTTCGCCTGAGCGGTTGCCACTTTCGCTGGGTCAATCTTGACAGGCTCCGGCTCGCCTGGTTCGCCGGGCTCGCCTGCTTCTGCTTCGCCCGGTTCGCCCGGTTCACCCGGTTCGCCCGGTTCACCCGGTTCACCGGGTTCACCTGGCTCGCCCGGTTCACCTGGTTCACCTGGCTCGCCCGGTTCGCCAGGTTCTGCTGGTTCGGCGGGCTCCGCCGGTTCGCCCGGTTCACCCGGTTCGCCCGGTTCACCCGGTTCGCCCGGTTCACCTGGTTCGCCTGCTTCGCCCGCTGCATCTGCGGCTGCCCTCGTCGAATGGGCCTGTGAGACAAGACAGAAAGGTCCTGCACATTCTATGTGCAAGCTTCATTTAGTTTGGTCAACCTGTCTTGGACAAGCGAAGTGTGGACATGTGTGGACATCGTGCATGGCTGGAGGCCTCTTGAATTTCCTTCAGCTTCCCCGTAACATCAGATGTACCGCCAGCCGTGGCAATGGCTCCATCGAAGCTTTCCGCAAACTTCAAGAGGCCAGTGATCTTTGCATACTGACCTCAGACTGTCGCACGGGAGGGGAACAACCTAAAAACTTCATCTTCCAATCGGGGTTGTTTGGGCACATCCCCCTCCACGACCTGGACAACCAGATACGAGCGTCGGTCTAGAACACTTACATACGTCTGGGGGAGGCTTCAAACTTCAAACCCCACATTTGCTTAGCTTTTGCTAGAGCCTTTCTGTGCCTAGCATGGCGGCGGTCTGACAACTTGGCTCAAATTAGGTGACTTGCAACAGTTTAGGCTGCTTACGACACACACACACAAACACACACACACACACACACACACACACACACACACACACACACACACACACACACACACACACACACACACACACACACACACACACACACACACACACACACACACACACACACACACACACACACACACTTACACACACACACACACACACACACACACACACACACACACACACACACACACACACACACACACACACACACACACACACACACACACACACACACACACACACACACACACACACACACACACACACACACACACACCACACACACACACACACACACACACACACACACACACACACACACACACACACACACACACACACACACACACACACACACACACGCACACACACGCACCCACACGCACCCACACGCACCCACACGCACCCACACGCACCCACACGCACCCACACGCACCCACACGCACACGGCACACGCACACCGCACACGCACACGGCACACGCACACCGCACACGCACACCGCACACGCACACCGCACACGCACACCGCACACGCACACCGCACACGCACACGCCCCACACCACCCACACGCACCCCACACGCACCCCACACGCCAACCACACGCACCCACACGCACCCACACGCACCCACACCACGCACCCACGCGCACCACACTCCCCACGCCACCCACGCGCACCCACGCGCACCCACACCCCGCGCACCCACGCACCCACGCGCACCCACGCGCACCCACGCGCACCCACGCGCACACCCACGCGCACCCACGCGCACCCACGCGCAACCCCCACGCGCCACCCACCCACGCCCACCCACGCGCACCCACGCGCACCCACGCGCACCCACGCACCCACGCGCACCCACGCGCACCCACGCGCACCCACACGCACCCCACACGCACTCCGCGCACCGCGCACGCACGGCACCCACACGCGCACCCCACACGCGTCACACCACACGCACCCACACGCACCCACACGCACCCACACGCACCCACACGCACCACGCACCCACACGCAACCACACACGCACCCACACGCACCCACACGCACCCACACGCGCACCCACCACGCACCCACGCCCACACGCACCCACACGCACCCACACGCACCCACACGCACCCACACGCACCCACCCACGCACCCACACACCACACCAACCACACGCACCCACACGCACCACACGCACCCCACACGCACCCCTCACCCACGCACCCCCACGCACCCACACGCACCACCACACGCACCCACACTCACCCACACGCACCCACACTCACCCACGCGCACACACGCTCACCCACGCGCACCCACTCGCACCACGCGCACCCCCACGCGCACCCACGCGCACCCACCCGCACACGCGCACCCCAACACACACCCACCGCACACCCGCGCTCACTCACCCACGCACACACACGCTCACACCGCAACACGCGCACACACACACGCCACACACACACACGCACGCGCACACGCGCACACACACGCCAACGCTCACAGCACACGCACACGCGCACACACACTCGCACACGCGCACACGCTCACACTCGCACACTCGCACACGCGCACACGCGCACACGCACACACTCACACACGCACACACGCACACACGCACACACACCACACACACACACACACACACACACACACACACACACACACACACACACACACACACACACACACACACACACACACACACACACACACACGCGCGCAATTCTGCAAGCATGCGGCCGACTCCCACTGGCAACGCTTGACTTTCTTTAATATTATAATATCATGTGTCGCTCGAAATTCTCAATGTCAACTTTGAGTCACATCCCTCACACTCAGATTCTCTCAGCTCTCGCGCTGAGCAGCTCAACTGTATGCCCAGCTACCTGCAGCGACTGCAGACTGAAAGGAGTCACACATCCGCTGGCAGGTCTTGTCGGCGACAACCTGCCTCGCACAGCGATATCATAGATGAAAGTGCAGCAGGTGCTGCGACGCTTGATTCTTAATTCTTGTTGTTGGAAGTCTGTACGCAGTTTTCTGTGCGTGTTTGCCACGCAGTGCTTACCAACCATTCTGGTATCGACAGAAGACGCGTGCAGAAACCAGGCATTGAAAATGCTGATCTTCGGCCGCAGAGTCGCAATGAGGCATGTAAATCCTCAATGCTTCCAGGATTGTATTCGCCAACTCGCTTGACCAAGTCCAGAACCAGTGCCTCAAAACGCCAATCAAACTCAGATTCGTGCCACTGCTGTGCCGAACACAACGCTAAATCCTCTTTTGCTACATCGAGGTACTGGGTTCAGGCCCGTCTCCTTGCCGAGCTCTGCTTGAGCTCGCTGCAAGCTACTGTGACAGACAGACTCCTGGGATGAGAGCTCAGAATGCATGGCGCCCATGCGTCCTGCAAAAACTTTAGCAGCTTTAAGCAGAACTTTAGCAGTGTCCTGCAGACGCGGAAGCAACGCGGTGGACTCCCCAAGCACCGTCAACGCAGGGCCTTCATCAAGCCACGGAACTGACCATGCAATGCAAGAATATGCAAGCATAGCTTGGCAAGAGCGCGGACCCACATGGTCGCTTCTGAAACGTGACTCCGGCAGGAATGCGGCTACCGTGATTCCGCATCGACGTCAGAAGACTTTCATCTCCAAACAAAACTCTGCTTCGCAAACTCTGCAGCGAGCTGCGAGCGGCATCATAGCGCTTGACCGCAGCCGTCACCTCAAGCAAGCTCAAGATCCGAATGCTCTTAGGGAATGCAAGCTAAACAGCTGCAAACTATGCAGTATGTCAAGTGTTTCACCGGGTGCCTGGTTCTGGGGCCTAGGGCCTAGGTCGCGCAATAGGGGGGACCGCTTTGCGGTGTTGCCCGTGGCTTTGCAGGGTTCTCTTGATGGTTGTTGTTACGGGCCAACCCTAACCGTGGTGTCCGCACCAAATATGTACCAATGATACTGGTGGACTGATGTTTCTGTTATAGTTGCGATAAAGGGCGTCACGTTTCGGTGTTCCCATGTCGCTTTAACGGCTTCTGAACCTTCAGCATGCAATTGCCCTCCCAAGAAGCAGACGCACTTTCCGTAGTTTCCACCCTTGCTCAAATGGCACTTACCCAGCCGGGAGGCTCTCCTACTGGAACGGAACCCCTCACGTTCAAATGACAAGGCATATGGTCCTCGCAGATGAAGAAAAAAACGGCAGAGGACATGACCCCCCGCGCCTCCTCGAGCTCCTCCACCTTCAAGGCCTCGGCGCCCTGGGCCAGCAAGATCTCCTCCAGCTCAGCCAGCAAGCCCTTCACGCGATCTGCTTGGTCTGCTGGAATCCTCGCAACGTTTATCCCTCCACTGTAACTTCAAGCTAACTTGTAACTTGGTAACTGGTAGACAGAGCTAGAAAAGGTCTCGCATGCTTCCAAGGCTCTTGTCAGCTGCGGCGGACAGGGTTTCGACAAAACCCACCATGGTCTTTGCACTGTGGATGGTCTCCTTTTGCTCTCAAGCCGTGCCGGTTGACCCTCTCATGTTGCGGCACGTGACGCAACGAGAAGGGCCGTGTACAGAGCAAAATGTCCATCGAAAGATCCCACCCCCTCCCCCCCCCCACCCCCTGATCCATCATGTAGCGGCGTCCTTCAACTCCGCCTCCAGGCCGCTCAGCGGAGCCTCGTAGGCAGCGGCGCCCAGGCGCCCAGCGAAGCCACCTCCGTGAAATTGACCCGAAATCTTCGAAATCTTCCGAACCTTTTCAAGCCAGGTATAAGCTATCTTCAGCCCATGCTTTCACCTTTTTAAGCATCTCGGATCCCACGGGCGAGCTTGAGTTTGTGAAAGGCAGTCAGCAAGCCAAACGAAAGCGGGACATCTTGCTAAACAAAATCTTGGTCCCAGCCTTTCCAGGTATGCGAGTAAGCATCACATGCAAACACTGAGCAACACGCCGCCTTCTGGCCAGCCAGGCAGCGTTCCAAGTGCCTTCACAACTCAGTGGTCTACTAAACGCCAGTCACTCGCTGCTTGCTAAGATGCTAGATCGGAACAGGAGGCCAGCCATGTGCGATCATGTCCACAAGCACATGGGGTGCCGCGGGTTGCAAGGTCTGCTTCTTGCTTCAGGCAGGAGGCGTCAAGCTTGAGTGCGAAGTCCATCATCTCGACCCCTTTGCTGGAGGCAGCCGTGATCTGATCTCCAGCCAGTTGCGCAACTTTGTTGAATCCCTCCTGGACGGTGTGTCAGAGCAAATCCACTTAGAAAAACCACCGTAGAGGTATCTGAAGCTGGAGAAGAGTTCGTCAAGCCGAAAGTACATGAAGGATGAGGGAGGCATTTTCATCGACACACTGCAACTGCTTGCCGCATTACACGAATTGCCGAACAATCCAACTTTCAGCATCTGCACTTACAGCTCTTATCCGATCAACTGGGGCGCAACTTGCATGCATGCGAGATTCCAGCAGGGCAGCTGGGACGTCTTCTTGACAGATCTGCCACCTGCCCAAGGGTCAGTACCATCGCTTTGACCATTCCATTTGACCCTTGCGGGCCAAACCTATCAAAGAAGTGAGCTAGTGGAACTCAGACCAGAAGCAGTTCCAAGACCCTTTCCCGGGCAAAGCCAGCAAACCCAATGGTGGCCAAGCTGCCATGGATGCAGCGCTGCAAATGCAGCATAAGCCGCTTCGAAGTTCTCCTGCTGACCGCATTCCCCCCAAACGTGCTGTGTGACCAGCAGGTGACCATGGCTTCGAGTTGCAGATGCTCTCTAAGACTCTATGACTCTTCTTGGTGCTGTAGCGCCTGGGCAAGCTCTGCTGCGCCCTGCCTTGGCAAGAGCGAGCAAGAGGAGCAGAGCTTTTGAGCAGATTTCAGATGGCGCCTAGCTAAGAAGCCTCTTCTGCTCGCGGTGCACACCAGCACGTGTCAAGCTCGTCGCGCGACCGACGAGGCGATTGACACAATCTGTGTTGCGGGAGCTGAGGGCTTGAGATGTCTAAGCGTCTGCAGGGTCCCAAGTTTCAAGGCCGGCCGAGAAGGGACGGGTCTTCCCAGGGCAGTCTGAGAGTTTACGTAGATCCGAAGGGGACCTTCAGCACCCAGCGCGAGTGGGTCGAGCTCAGACATTAACCGTTTTTGAGGTCCTTGGCGGAGCGAGTTTCTGCGCATGCTCCTGGAGGGTGGTGAGGTGCAGCTTCGGAGCTCCAGAGCTCAGTGCCGGCTTCACCGCCCTCTCGAAGAACGCGCAGAAGGCGAGTCGTGGGCTCCGCCAAGGACCTCGAGTTTGCTGATGCAGGTCCCCCTTCTGCTCCTGGAGTCTACACCGTAGCATGGCGATGGCGGGGGCCGCTTCTTGGTCTTCGGCAGGGATCCTGCTGAGAGACATCACCACAGGGGCCTCTCGGACGGCTCCGGACTTTGCGGGCCCTACACGACCGAAGTCAAAGAGAGAACGCGTGCGGGTTCCTCGGGTCGATCGCGGCATTCTCTGAGGCCGCGTGCTTTCGGGATTCGTGTTTCCGTGCCGCTAGACGGCAGGGCTGAGCTGCACGCTACTGGAACAGACTGGTTGAGGGAAGGTGCCAAGAACGTGAAAATAGAATCTGCGTCACCCTGTCAGATGCAAAAGCCAAGCTATTCCAAGGTGCTGCAACTGCACCTGTACCATGTGAAGCCCAACCTTGCAAAGGTCTGGGGGATGCACGGAAGAAAAGACAGAACACAAAGAGCGCTCAAATCGAACTGCAAAAGACAAATATGTCTTTCGAGCAGTGATAAAATGCTCACATGCTCCCCTGTACCTGTTGGATCAACTTCTCCACCTCAGGCATTTGTGGCTCCCATGGGCTTTCCTCTGCGGCTGCCTTGAAGACAAGAGGGGCAGCGACTTGAAACGTGAGAGATCTGAGAGCAGACCCCAGAAAAAGACGAGAGAGCGACATGTTCTGGGCGTCAGTTGAGGGAGTTGTAAGGGATCGCTACAGCTTAGAAAGGGTGTGGAAGAAGTGCGCACTGCCAGACTCTCTTGAGTCGCTGAGCCCTTGAAGGAGGTGCAGACTCAAGGAGGATTCAGGATTTCAAATTTTAAGGAGAGGTGCTCCAAGACTCAAAAGACTCAAAAGACTCAAAAGACTCAAAAGGCTCAAAAGACTCAAAAGACTCAAGAGGCTCAAAAGACTCAAAAGACTCAAAAGACTCAGAAGACTCAGAAGACTCAGAAGACTCAGAAGACTCAGAAGACTCAAAAGACTCAGAAGACTCAGAAGACTCAGAAGACTCAGAAGACTCAGAAGACTCAGAAGACTCAGAAGACTCAGAAGACTCAGAAGACTCAGAAGACTCAGAAGACTCAAAAGACTCAAAAGACTCAAAAGACTCAAAAGACTCAAAAGACTCAGAAGACTCAGAAGACTCAAAAGACTCAGAAGACTCAGAAGACTCAGAAGACTCAGAAGACTCAGAAGACTCAGAAGACTCAGAAGACTCAGAAGACTCAGAAGACTCAGAAGACTCAAAAGACTCAAAAGACTCAAAAGACTCAAAAGACTCAAAAGACTCAAAAGACTCAAAAGACTCAAAAGACTCAAAAGACTCAAAAGACTCAAAAGACTCAAAAGACTCAAAAGACTCAAAAGACTCAAAAGACTCAAAAGACTCAAGACCATCTCAAAGACCAGCATCCCTGCGGCTTGGCTGCCGAGATCTTTGTGCAGCGATCATCGAAATTGGTGACGAGGTCTCGCCTATGCTCGCATGCTGAAGCAACAGCGAGAGCCTGTACAGCGGAAGCCCGCTCCAGCGGAATCTGCCATGCATAGCGTGACGACAGTTACAGCTCGGCCGAGGCACGTGGCGGGCAGACAGGTGGGTCCCTCCTTCTGGAGAAGGCCAGGGAAGCCCTTCAGGAACTTGGCGGATGCAAACCTGGGAAGTCCATGGAAAGAGGCCAGGAAACAGGAGACTGCCAAGAGGCAGAGGACAGAGGAATGCAGAAGCAGATGCTTCCTAATCCGGAACTGAGCCCTGGCTCTCAGCCGCCGGCCCAGTAGTTTGCACCGTCGTACGTTTTGCAATCTCTGGTGTCACGGAGCCCGCAAGAAGCACCTGAGAGGGATGACTCGATGACTTCTGCAATCTGGACCTGAAAATCAGAGGCCGCCGCGTCCAGCTTCCCCACGATCTCTTGAAGGGCCTCACTGGCATGCTGGCGATCAGCTGGTTGCCCCCTCCCCCACATGAGTCGAGGGAACAGGAGCCGAAAGAACGAAACGACGATGTCGCATCTCGTGGAGAAGCTTTTGAGGAGCCTCCAGTAGTTTGGACACGGTCGTGCCCTTGACCGTCTCAGCGATCTCTTTGACAACTTTTTCCTGAGTTACTCAGCAATCAAAGCCAGCCTGGAATGTCGCCTGGTGCAGATCAGCATCCAGCCGCTGACTTCGCACTTGCTCCCACTTCGCTTCCAGCTTCTTGGACACGGGACTGGCCCGGACTGTGTCCAAGTCAGCTGCCAATTCTCTTATGTCCTCTGGTCCGTTTTGCAAGGACAGGGTCTCAGGGAGTTGGCAATGGCGAGCAACAGCCCATAAGCTCAACAAGCAGGTCCTAAGAAATAGCACACTTATCGAGTTTTCGCGCATCTGGAGACCACTAACAGTCACATCCACCCTGCCAGTGCCTACCAGACTTGAGCTCAAGCCGGGGCCTTGAGGATCGTTTCAGCTTCTTCCATCTCCACCAACTCAAGAGTGATTCGGCTGTCGATGTTGTTGTAAATAGTGTCCTGTCCCCGCATGTCACGGGTGAGCCGAAATGCAAAGTCAAAAACTTCAAGAGGCCGTGATTTGCGAAGTTTGCGAAGTTTGCGAAGCCCGACGGTCGCTGGCGACACCAATCCGATCCATGAGAGATGCATCCTTGGTTCTCTCTGACCAACTGCTACTGGCCTGTCACCTCAGACTCAGGGTTCTTAAGCTTCGCCTTAGGTCTTAGGTCCTCTGGTGCCGCTTCAGAAACCTTACTGGCCGCCCAAGAGTCGGGCTTGCTGGCTTCGGCCAGTGTGTCCATGGCAGCACGCAGCTCCTGCACGTGCGACAGGGCAGGAAGTCAGTGTAAAGGCCCAGCCCTCCTCAGCCCTCTTCAGACCTCTTCAGACTTGTTCAGACTTGTTCAGATGTCAACTCCCGGGCTGAAGGAAGCAGAACACCACAACCACAACGTGCGCTGGGGGAAGCTTTTTCTTGCATCTGCTTTTGGCGTCCTTGGCACACTTCATCATCTCGTGGAGGCCATCTGTCCCGTGTCCTTTGCTCAGGGCCACGGCGTTGCACACAAAATATCAGTCTCAGCTCATGTCACACTGCTGTCCCCCCCCCCCCCCCCGCCTATCTTCTTGCCTTCGCAGTGCTTCCTTAGTCGCGACACATTTTGTCACGTCCACAACAAGCTCGGAAACAAGCTCGGAACGAGTGTAAGGCCATGAGATTTTGAGCCTCGTGAGGCTCTGAATCCGAGTCGCTCCACCACCTCGATCCTCTTTTTGAGGTCGGATGTCGAGGCTCCGCTTCCCATGGCTTTCGCAGCGTGCCGGCGGGGCCGGCAAAGAACATTTCAATACTTGCAAAGTAATAATAGTGGGGGGGTGCTTGCTTCTCAAGTGAGTTAAAGGATTCAGGAGGTATCTGATGCATTTCTTAGGCTAAGGCACTTCGTTGCACGTCATTGCACTTCACGTCACTTGCAACTGATGCTGCATTGCAAAGTCTCTGAACCTTGAGCTCATGACTTTCTGATCGGCAACCCGCTGAAGCATTGCTACGTGCAGCAGAAGCACTGCACCAATCTTCCAGCGTTGACGGGCACAGCTGTGGAGGGGCCTGGTGCATCTGCCCGGACATCTCCAAATTTTTGTCTGTCTCTGCGCCTTTGGCTGAAGGACGGCAAGGAACTTCAAGAGACCGGTCCTAAGCCTCCCAATCCCAAGTGCCCGGCATCTTGCCGCAATGCTGGGCCACCACAGCAACGGGACGAAGCGCCCATTGTTGCTCCACACGGTCTGAGCGACACTGAAGTTTCGCAGTCGTAACATGACTCATACGTCGGACCCCGATCCCGCCAATTCCCACCATTGTTCATCTCGTGCGCAGCATCACGATGCATCGTGCAAAGTGATCTGTTAAGCGGCGGGCAACACTCGGTGGGAACTCCAATGGCGGCATCTGCAGCATCAACAGCTACTACCCCTGTTGATTACGACTGCAGCAAGACAAAAGCCATGCTGAGAGCCCCACCACGAGTCGGAGGGGCCGTGATGGGCTTGAAACGAAGTGCATGCCCTCAGGACCACCCTCACCTCAAGAGCGCTTTACAACTCTTTGTCTGGATTGTTAAGGTAGGTAGATCAGTCAAAATGCCTAGCTACCACAGCTTTGAGCATGTTGGAAAACATGCCTGAGGTTGCCACGCACGATGCGCACTCGAGCAAAAAGCCCCAAAGCCTCTCAAGGCAACGCATCTGCTGAGCATGAGAGCTGTCTTTGTCAAAGAGACCAAGACTGGACGCACATGTCTCGACAACCAATGGTCAAAACGACGACGATGACGACGACGACGACGGCTGTGATTTGTGCGATAATGCATAAAGAGTATGTTGCATATTGAACCATGAACCCCTTTGAGCACAAGGTAAAGTGAAGCTGGCATGACCCAGTTAACTGGATCATCTGGCATCCAACAGGCACCGCCTTGATCTGTTCGCCGTGCAAACCGAGTTGTTCTGTCGCGCTGTCCCACAGGCTGTGGTTGAAGCCCGTCGCCTCGAAGAAAGTGATCTCTGCGTCGGCTGCATGATATGAACAAAAAACAAAACAATGCGGGTGCCCGGCAATTGCCACTGCTGCCCGCCCAGGTCCTGCACGTTTTGTTGGGTGCCCAGAACCAATTCAGACTTCTGGGACGACGGGTGACTCACGGTGATTCCGCTTGACGAGGTGCCGGAATCGTGCCGAATGGATTCTTGCAAAAGCCCTTTTGCAAATTAAGTTGTGCAGGCTTCCGAAGTCTTCCTGGACAAAGTTGCAAAAGTTTAATCTCCGTCAAAGGCCCTGTGATATCCGCCTGTGACATTTCTGCGCTCGCAGGGGCGGGACGGCAGGACCCACGGAGAGTAGAGCGAGGTCCAACCCAACTGCAGAGCTTTGCGGGGCAGCCATCAGCTTGGGTGAGGCGAAGGTGGCCCAAAGGCGCTGTCAAGTCTGCGAGCATCCGACCAAATGTTTGTGCATGATGCCTTACTAGGCCACAAAGAGCCCGGACAGGACAAGGACTAGACCAGCAAGGTAAGACATTTCTGCAAACGTCACGTTTGCTTTTGTGTTGCGGAACATTTTCTCATGGTATAGGAAGCAACATGCATGGCATCAATGTTGCAACTTAGAAACAATTGTCCTTGCATGCCGCCGTGGGTTTTCTGGCTGTCGCAGGTCTCATACACGTACCTGCCAACAAACAAGCAATGAGTCGGGGCATCCAGTCGCGCGATTCTCTATCGATTGGTATTGCCTCTCTGCATGTTCACGTTTTCAAACTTGATGGGATGTAACCAGTGGAGATTGCAGACGCTTGCATCCACGAGGTAGCCTCGTGGACACTTGGCTATGGAGACTCTTGCTGCGGCGCACTCCACTGAATCAGGTAGGTGCCAGTCAATTTGGTCCTGCTTTCTCACAATTCTCAGAACAGCATGAACACATCTTGCACACAGCAGCCAGCGTCCTCACTTACGTCTCCCGGAACTGGAAGACGCCCTGGAAAGCCGATGTTGAGTGCAAGACAACCAACCCCCCAGCGGCATACCTGCAAACCCGCCTTATGTCACCTATCTCTGTCCGTGTGATCTCGCGTCATGTGCCATGGCCGCACCTCCATTCAGCCTTGGGAGGTACGGCGCGTATTCGACTCGGTGCGGCCTGAGCGAAGCAACGCAGCGGAAGGTGTATGTGTGGCCAGATGCGACCATGTCTTCTTGGGTTCAACATCCGGACTACAACGCTGTGATGATGCATCAAGCGCTTGAGCGGCGCTGCCAAGTTCTCTGTTCCGTTCCAAGATAACCCTGAACCCTTTTGCGGAGCCATTGCAGAGGCGTTCTGAGGTCACAGTGGGGCTTACACACTTTCCGCTCGTTCAACGTTGAATTTCATTGCTTCCGTGATTGCGTGCTTCGTTTGCGGCCAAGTCGGGCCAAGTCGTCTGATTTCTTCACGAATCTGGGTCACTAGGGGCCATCGATGGGAGAACTTGCGAGTTCGAAGACTATGTGCAGTCGCGTGCCCTTTTGGGATGCCACGCCCAAACAAGAAGTCATGCAGAGTCTCTATGCGAGAGTGAGCGAATCCTCCACATGCACTGGCAGCACAAGATACTGAGAGGGGTACCAGCGAGCTGCCTCTGCACTGATTTTCCAGGGTGCGAAGATGCAGATGTGCTGTGCTGCTGGGTCAGCACCATCCAGCCCTTGGCTCCACAGCAATCGCACACGATACTAAGCAGCGAAACTTGTAGCCTGCGACAAAAAGCCAGGTGCAGTTCGCTCGAAAACGGAGGCGGTGAGAGCAAGAGGGTATGTGGAGCGAAGGCATTTGGGATCTGGGTCGGCATCGAAGGGGACCTGCGCAATCAGAACAGCTGTCTGCAGGCCGACTAAAGATCCACCAAGTTGTTGGGCTGACTTTGGTGCGACATCGTGAGCCATGAGCTGGCTCTCACCCACACGCGCCTGTTCCGGCACGAGCCAATTTGTCGGGGCTGGTGGCACCACAGACTCACGACCTCAGCTACGTACAGTCCAAGTTGAAACGACACACACAAACAGCAGCTGCTGCAAGCCTGCTCTGAGCACCCATCTTTGCAAGGCAGCAGACCATTCCTCTTGTTCCATCGGGAACTTCGGGAAGGAGTCCTGTCTTGATGGATTAGAAGCTAGGCCGTGCTCCACCGCATCGTGAGGTTTACGCCCGAGTCCCGAGTCCTCTGTCGCACCCTCCACAGGGCCATCCACTTCGCAGTAGCGCTCATGTTTAGCATCGACAAAGAAGCGATATGCGCATTCGGGGTCTCCCGGCATGCTGTGCACCTGCAGCCCGTGTGGCATGCTTGCCGGCTATGATGGCGAGACATAGCTACTCCACCGCCTGCCTTTCTTCAGTTTGTCTGACTCATTCTACACATCCACTGGGGCAATGGCAAACTCTAAGGTCTCCCGTGCATTCTCCTGTGGCCATGACAGGGGGCTTCACAGCGACACGTGCAATCCGAGACTTGCTGCAGTCCTGGTAGTACTCACGGAAAGCCAGAGCAGGGCCGCATTTCTGCGGCACGCGGCGACCTTATTGCAATGGACGATGCTGTGACTTTCTGGTGTTGAACTTAGCAAGCCAGTGACAGTCGAAACAAGCAAACCGAATCATGTGAAGCAAATGCCACTGAAATCACTGAAACGAAAAACCACATTGGGACGCCCCACGAATCGTGCCGACCACATAAAGTTTCTGCTGGGCAGCCAAGCTCTCCTGCACAGGCGACGTGACTTGCATGAGAGGAGGAGGTTCTGTAAAGCTACTTGGTGTGGCTTGGAGGTCATCGTCAGAAAAAGTCATACTTACCTATTGAAATGCTCATGTTCCAGTTGCTCGGAGGCACCTAAACGTGCATCTCAGCATGGCTCTGGCCAAGAGTGGGCACACGAGCTCGTCAACTCCCAGCATCTACTGAGAGCAGGATATTTTTTGAGGCAAAATTCGAGCCTGGGACCGTTCGGCCATCTCTGGGGACAAGCGGCTCTGGTAGCGGTATCGCGACACGCCTCGAGATCCAGACAGTTACAACGCAGGGTTCGAAACGCCCGTCCACACGTACATGACGCCAGTTCAAATGATTTCTTGTTGAGCTTCATTGGCATTGGCCTACCACCTCGCCCTGGGGTCATGGCGCTGCATCCGGATGCGATACTCCACAAGGTTGCAAAGAGGGTGCCTAAGCACGACCACCAAAACTTGCTTCAAATTGAGTGCTGCACATGCTCGCCAAAGTACATTGCGCAGCACTGGGTGCTTCACATCATTCTCTTCATGACGAAGTCGGAAATGCTTTGATAAAGAAGCTCTCTACGTTCTGTGTGTTCAGGGCCCTGTCGTAAGGGCGTTCCTTTACTTGTACGTAAGCATACCTGTCATAAACGGTCAGTCTCATGTGCGACCATGACCACTGCCCGCATCGGGCTCCTGTCCGTTGTATAGAAAGATGCAGAAGCTTTTCTGAGTTCTCGCTCACGCGGTGCAGGCCACTTACAACAGGGGACATAACGTCACAACCAGACTCAACCAGACAATCCGCAGGGACACTTTTGAGGCACGACCAGACAATCTTCCCAGATGTTGGTAGCTGAACTCTACTGTAAACCCTGGAAGCCCTCAAACATACACCCTAAACCCGAGCTCTCGGAGTCCTAACCCCAGCTTGCAGCCTACGGGATGCCCGCAGCGGGCTCCAAGCTGCGCACGGATCGAAAGCCG